GCATTACTATTTTAATACCATATCCTTACTTTTTCAAAGTAGTGTTCAGCATTATCTGTGCGATTCCCACCAATATCATGAGAATTACGTGGCTAAAAATGAGCGTACATGTTTCTGATTAATGTATTTTGACGATTGATTCATTTATTTATGCACAGAATAATTTTGGTTTTCTTTCATTGTTCGTTTGTAACTTTTATTATTTTATAAAATTCAGTGCAAGTGGATCCAGTGGCAGTACAGCGAGAGTCTGTAGGTGTTTGCCTATTATCTGCACACTGTCATTGTAAACTGTCATTCTATCACCGAAAGACATATGGTGTTTACAAAAGTGAACGTGTAAAGTAGCACAAAATAATGATGACTGTATAAAGTGTAACAAGTTACAGTTTTGAAGCTGTGACTCTAACTGTTAAAAGTTGATCATGTAAGCGTGGGCAACAATGCAAGAAAACCAGGAACACTACAATGTACATTTAAATCTCCGAAAAAGCCAAGATTCTGGGTGGCTTGTGTCACCATATCTCTACCCGAGTTGCCCACTGAAGGCGTTGCAGCCTGAGTTTCAGCAGCAGAATGAATTGGTCTCTGTGCCTGATGTTTTATAAACTTGTATATTAAATGTATCTACCAGTGTTTAAAGACAGCCATAAACTCTAAGGCCTCCATCTGCATGCACATTTTTGATCACTGTCACTGAGCATACAAGCATTGCAGCTTGAAAACTGAGCATGCAAAGGAATAAGCAAACAAATGGAGGGTGGATTGAGGCACCTTTGAACTGTTGCCCCTAAATGCTTTGGGCCAAATTTTCACTGACATTAACAGAGTTATCCCAGCAGGGAATTTGGCCTCCTGTGTGCTACTTAAATCTTCCAGGTTTAGAAACTCCTTGGCCTTGGGAGACTATTTTCTTTTCTCTGCCTGAGCAGCTTTAGCTGGGCAAACTGGAAATGATGTTCACAAATAACTGATCTCAGTGTGGGACCGGAAAAGCATGAATATTAGTGTTTCTACTACAGCCTGCAGCTAGCACCAAATTGTTCTGATATGATGCAAAGCCCATTAAAGTCAAATCGCACATACAGGGTCAAATCCTGTGCCTTTACTTGGCTTGAAAAATAAATAGCTTAGAGAAAAACTTTTGAAAATTGCATAACATGCATACATATATTTTTTCACACAAGTTTTAGCTTTAAAACTTCAGTTGTTGTTTTTACTCAGATTCACAGATTTTAAGGCCAGAAGGGCCTACTGAAATAATCTAGTTTGACCTCCTGCATAACACAGGCTATAAAACTTCACCCAGTAATTCCTGCATCAATCCCATAACTTTTGTTTGAGCTTAGAGCAGTGGTTCCCAAACTTGTTCCACTCCTTGTGCAGGGAAAGCCCCTGGCAGGACGGGACGGTTTGTCTACCTGCCGCATCTGCAGATTCGGCAGATCGTGGCTCCCCGGTGGCTGCGGTTAGCTGCTTTAGGCCAATGGGAGATGCTGGAAGCGGCAGCCAGGACGTCCCTCGGCCCACACCACTTCCAGCAGCTCCCATTGGCCTGGAGCAGCGAACCGCAGCCACTGAGAGCCGCAATCAGCCGAACCTGCGGACGTGGCAAGTAAACAAACTGGCCTGCCCTGCCAAGGGCTTTCCCTGCACAAGCCGTGGAACAAGTTTGGGACCCACTGGCTTAGAGCATCTCTTTTGCAATATGCATGTTCCAAAAAGGGTGGCTAGCATTTTTTTCAGAAGGAAAAGTGATTTTTTTTTCCCTCCACAGTTTCACAGTTAAAATGTGGCTTGCAGGATTCCCTAAAATAAATAGTTCACCTCCAGGAAGAGACAAACTGGAAGATTTTACCTCCAAGGGTGAATGTCTGAGAAAGTTATAAGCATGTGAAAATGGGGGTTATAATAGAATTTGTTTTGCAACCTTGAGGTTGAGGTTAAGGTAAGCTGGGACCATCAGCAAACAGTAGAAGCACAGATAAAGGGAAGCAATAATATCAATATTTTAATAGTTTCCTTTTGTTGTATGGTTAGTTGAGATACAATATTGGACACTGCCAAATAGATACAAAAAGTAATAGGTGAAATCCTGGCTCTATTGAAATAAACAGGCGTTTTGCCATCCACTTCATCAGAGCTAAGATTTCACCCAGGCTATGTTAAGAATAAGAGGATACACTTCTAGTATTTCTAAATTTAACAAATGCTGATCCTGCAAGTTGTCAAAAGCTTGTTCTACTAAAATATTGTGGATATGGAAGTGCTAGACTAAAGATGAGTAAGTTTCTGTACTAGCAAAAACGATAATGTAAAAAGGCATTAAATAGCAAAGGGGGTTATTATGATCATGATAAAATATTCTTGAATGTAAATATCTGCTCTAATAAAAAATTAGACTCAGATGCTGAAAATGAACTTGTGTGCCATGAACTGGATGCAGAAACAATCTCTTTCTTACCAGAATTTTAATGAGCTCCGAAGCAATCCAACTGTATCTATTTGTACAGTAGGGATGGCTCTGAATATAGAGTTCCTGGGATATCACCTATTGTACAATTTTCTCTGTTTTTAATCTCCTAATATAAAATATTGCTAAGTAAATTATATTTGAGCAATGGATCTATTGGCAAATATTAACTAAAATTAAAAAGAAATGTTGATGATGTTCCTTTCTCCCATACTTATTCTTTGTTTGTCGACTTCTGTGTAATCATATAATGTAATTTGGGGATTCCTTATGAATTTATGAATGATTAGTTGAATGCAAACTCCTCCTAGGGTATTAGGAGAGGAAGGTTCCACAATATGTCATTGGAAAGACAAATTTCTCTGGTGTGCCGTAAAGTCATGGATTTGACCTGTGACCTTGATTGGCCACGTTTGACCTCCTCCTGGACTACTAGTTAATATTTTTAAAACGTCAACAGAACTGTTGACAGTACAAGTTATTTTCTTATGTAAGCAGTATATGCTACAAGAATCAGCTCCTGAAAACACTTACTAATAGGTATACCTAGTTCATGACAAGAAGGTTTGTCCTAATGGGAGGAACACAGGACAGACTAAGAGTCCCACCTGTGGCAAGAGCAGGAAGGGGAGGTGCCTGTTTTTCCTGTGAGGAACTGGGACATGTGAGGAAGCACAGTCCTCACAAGAAGGTAAAACATAGCCAGGAAAGGGGCCAGGTTTCAAGAAAGAAAGAGCCAGTTGCCCTCAATGTGGGGCATAGTAGTGGTAGTAGCAGAGAAGGCCAACAGGTTTGTAATGACAGAAAGTGGGAAGGAACTAGAAGGAAGAAATGGTCCCATGAAGATAAAACTGAATGATACTAGGACAATTACAGAGGCTAACCAATATACAGTGGGGAACTCAGATCCTGAGGGAAAGGCTGCTGAGGGAGAGCAGACCAAGGCAGGAGTTACAAGAGAAGTTGGTAGCTGTAGAGCAAGCCATGCAAGTGGCTTCACAAGACTTAGAGTATTAGCAGAAGTACCAGAACACCACGGAAGAGAAGAGTAAACTGCTTCTCATGGTGGGTGACCCAGAGATGGAGCAAGATGACTTGCAAGCCCAGCTTCAGCAACTCCAGGATAGAAGGTATCCATACTCACCCCACACAAGGCATGAGCTGGTTAAATATGGCCAATTGACCTTATAGGCTGCACCTCGAGGAGAACCAGGGACAAAGTCTAATTGAAGATGAAGCCCACCTGGGCAGGAGCAGGCTGGGGCTTATATAAAGCCTGGAAGTTGAGAGCAGGAGGGAGCTATAGGGAGGTGCTCTGCAGTCACTCCAGAGAGAGAAAGGGAATTGGCAAGAGGGAAGGAGATCTATGGGGAGAGTAAGCCCTGGACTACAGAGTGGCAAGAAGCCAAGAGGGGTGGGGTAGCCACTGCAAATAGAAGAAGCTTGCGTTGGTAAATCCTGAGGTGGGGCAGAAGACAAAGAAGTGAGGTTGGAAGGTGCCCAGGGAAATAGCAACGGGGTCTGAGATTGAGCAGATGGTGGTTGCTAGGCATCGGGTCCCTGGGCTGGAACCTGGAGACAGTGGGGAGCCAGGGTTCCCTACCAGCCAGTGGACCTGGACTTGGACCAGAGACTGTCTGACATGGGATATGGACAGCTTGTCCCGTCGGATGCTGACACCTGGAAGAGGAGGACTAAATAGTGATCTGGCTGGAAGACCGAGTCACGGAGAGGGAGCACCCTAAATCCCAGCAGGGGGAAGGGGCACAGTACAAGGAACCAATGGAAGGGAGTGCCAGACCAAGCAAGAGCTGATCTCTAGACCCAGGCACAAGGAGGCATCCCAGTAGTGATCGAACCCCATTACAAAGCCCAACACAAAGACACAGGAACAAAAAAACATTGAGGGAACCACTAACTCAACCAATCAGAGAAAAGCATAAATAAATGCAATAGGATAATTCATCACATGAACAGTCTAATTCTATGAGACTGGCTCTTAGTTTAGTGGAGTTTAAAATAAATCTTCTCTTTGAAGACACTAAATTGTTCTTTTATATTCTTATATTATCTTCAATTTTAAGATTTTTTTGGGAAAGATACTTTGTTTATTGGAAAAACAGAAGAACAGATTCTTAAAAAGGAAATTTCACATTTGGAAACTATGCCCCCTATCCAGCAAAGGCCTTAAGCACATGCTTAGCTTTAAGGATGTGAGTAGTCCCATTGACTTCTATAGGATTATTCACATGATTAATGTTAAGCATGTGCTTAAGTCTTTGCTGAATAGTAACCTAAATATTATGGCTTCCAGAAATGAGCAGTGCAGTCCTGGTGAAATGAAATGATAGAATTTTTACTTACATTTTTACTTCCAAACACATTTTAAAATCATATGGACTATGAAATTCCAAAGCTCCATTAATTAAACTGCGTGAAATGATAAAGCTACTTCATACTGAAGTATCCAAATTGTTTTCCTGAAACTATAGGCACTGTATACATTTGAAGCCGAGAAAGTACTTACTGATTGCAGAGTCATAGGAGGTTGAGTTGTGTTCATCTCGGATAAAAGGAAATGGAGAAAGGTAGGCATGTGTGCAATTCTTAGACGGCGATTGGTTGGCTAGGGGGAAAAAAAGCCTAAACATTAATGTCAGGTATTTATATGATCATGAGTTGTATTTGTGCTGAGTAGAACACTTTTAAACACATTCTCTAAAGTGGCAGACTGAATTCTATGGGTCCAGCCTCCAAGTTCTTATTCAGGCAAAAGCCCCATTAACCTCACTGAGGGTTTTGCCCGAGTAAGGGATATCAGCTGTCAGCTCCATGCCATCTGGGGATTCCTGGACCTAAGGAGAATGCCCAATTAGGGCAGCTGTAAGGGTAATTTGCACTGCCAAAGCAGTAAAAGCAATCATTTTGGTGGCCAGAATCTGGTGTGTGTGTGTGAGAGAAAGAGAGAGAGAGAGATGAGAGATAGTCCTTATTTATGAGATAATAGCATAGATATAGATATAGATATTGCACCAGATAAAGAAGAAAAAGAATTTCAGCCTTTGCATTAACATGGTAAAGGTAATGTAAAAATATAAACTACACTTACTGTACCAGAATTTCCAAATATTGTTAGTGTCCTCTTCTACAACTCCAAGAAACCAGCACCTCCAGAAGAAACCTTCATGGTGGAAAGTGACCACCTCCTCCTGCACAAAACAAACACAATCTTTGTCGCCTGCATGCATGAGCACAGTCAAGGTATTTTTCAGGTAGCTAACAGAATCAAATCCCATCAAATACAGGTTTTTAGTTGAAAATGCATCTTACCTAAATGCAGATTATTTAAAGAAAACCTGTACAATTATAGCTCCTTTGTCAAAAGCTCAGCTCGCACCTCGTGGTTCTGAGCACAGTGGGCCTGAACAAAGCCAAATTAAGTAAATAAAAATCCACTAAGTGCAGTAGGCTTTGGATCAGGCCCATAAACACCAGAGTCAGACCTAGTGTCCATACAGTATGTTCTTTCTACGTGAAGAAGAGATTAACACATCTGTGAAACTAATGCCAGCTATTATTCTGAAGAAAAAATATACATACTAACCGTGGTATTGTTTGGACCTTCTGAACATCTTCCAACTTCTGTAGCAAGAAGCCAGTAATCTGTCCCAAAGGCCACCAAAAAGAGCAAAACTCCCAGCGCCCCGAAGAAGCCTCCAAAAAATATCCCCACACTCAGTTTCATCATTGATTTGTTTCCAAATGAATCTGAATATTTTTTTAAGTATTTTAAAAATCAACCCTCTCAAAGTAAAAAATTAGGCAAGTGGACAATAGGTGCTGGTTGGAGAATGCACCCTGTGTTTGAAAAAATTTCTCTTTCCTTGCCTTTCGGTTTTTCCCTGTGCCTTGTGGGTTGATTTGTGTTCCCTGACTTGTGTTCCACAAGGCTGACTTCAGCCTGACAAATGGAAAGGCCCTTCTATTTTAGGACATTGATGGAAGAGCTTGACTCTGTTTCTCTATCAAGGCGTGGCCAGTCAAAAATAGCTGACCTTCCCCTAACTATTCAGAGAGACAGGGAGTGACTTGAAATATTATTGCAGTTGGTGCACCAGCAACAGTGAAAGGGAAATGAAGCTGCAGAGCCCTCATTATTCCACCTGGGCTGCATTGCAGCACATAGTTACAACAAGCACTTACAACATGTAAATTTGGCAGTGAACATTTCTCCTGCCATTAGCAGGAAAGCGAACACGCACAAAATCCCAACTTGAATGAAAACTTTTGTTGTAAATTCAGTTTGCTTTAAAAGGGAATATTTTGCAACTAGCTTCAGTTAATTATGCTAGATTAAGTCTTCAAGTGCTTTATTTACTTATTCAGATTTATATACAATACACCTCTACCCCAATATAACGCGACCCAATATAACACGAATTTGGATATAATGCGGTAAAGCAGCGCTCCGGGGGAGCAGGGCTGCGCGCTCCGGTGGATCAAAGCAAGTTCAATATAACGCGGTTTCATATAACGCGGTAAGATTTTTTGGCTCCCGAGGACAGTGTTATATCGGGGTAGAGGTGCAGATAATAGCACCTATCCAAGGCACTCAGCCACCCCCTACACATATTAAACTGCAATACTGTAGAAAGAAAGCAGTCTCCAAAACCAGAAAGAGAATCAAATCCCTGCAGCCACGGGTCTCAATCCCTGCTGCATAAATGTTAGCCGTTCTAAAAAGAAGGAGCTTTGCCACACGCTCTGAAGGCCAATGGAACATGACAGGGGAATGAATTCCTAAGTTCCCAAGTCCCCCACAGAGAAAGCCCTACCAGTACCCTTCTCTTTTGATGGCAAGTGAGCATTCCCAAGAATATATGACACAACATGAGTACATGGAACATTCCCAAGAATGGGTTCTGATATGGCACAATGTACCAAACCCTCCAGTCCTTACTCAGGCAAAACTCCATTGATTTCCCATCCTGGGAAGCAGTGAAGTTAAGGGAGCTATGGCAATTTACCCCAGCAGAGGATCAGTCCCAGAGAACCCTATTATTTTGGATAAGCTAGCTACCCCGCCACAGGAACACTGCTGGCAGCAATCTTTCTGGATCTTACACAGGCATGTTTGGGGAAAGAAAGTGAAAGAGGCTCCCTGTGCCAACCAACATCAAACCCATAGCAGAAAACCCCACAGCTGAGTGGTAAAGGTTTTTCAACGTCTGGATAAGATTTTACACAATTAGTATATCTAACCAATGCCACATTTGCAGGTTGTTAGAAGACATATTTACTGCAAACCTGATATATATTTATTAAGTTAGAATAGCGCAAAATGTAAGTGTGATATTCTTTTATGGCGTTGGCCCTTTTACACTGAACAACTTAGACACATGAAAGTAAATGCATTTTTCAATCACAGATTGTCAGTATTTCCTTTTTTTTAGAGTTACTGATACTATTTATTTTGTCACACTACAAAGAAGCATGTGCAGTGAATGTGGTTCAACTATAAAAGAAAGTAAAGCAACTTTTATTAAGGGATTAGTCCTGGATTAGAATGGTGTGTTCTACTAACAGAACCATGGAAAGTGTCATGAAACAATTATTTGAAGTCAAAGTTATCCTATTACCTTGGGAACTATTAACTTACAAATCATTTTTGCCCAAAGCTCAACAAATCTTGATCTTGCAATCACTGAAGTCAATGGGGGTGAGGGCGTTGCCATTGACTACGGTGGATCTAAAGTCATGCAAGTTCCTACCATAAGTGAAACTTTCCAACATTGTCTTACACATATTATATTATTTGTATTCTTTTTTTTCAGAATGATCACGTGTTATAATACGATCTATTATAATGTAAAGTTTTATTTAATAACTGGACACAAAAGGTCAAAGTGAGCTGATGTGGAATTCATTTTGATTTGCTGTACATCATAGATTGCCTTAAAGAATATTATTTCCCAATTTTATGGAATATAAATTTATTTTCAATTTTATTAATTTATCCCATCAAACATATCAGTTGGACAACACTGGGTCCTGTATTGAGAAGGTGAACAAGCCTGAATTTGGTCTTCTTTACAATATTATTCTAAGTGAAAATAATAATATTAATACTTACAGGGGGTCCCTGGTATACTTCGGGGTTGCATTCTTGAAAAGGGCGATAGAGATCAAAGCGACCTCTCAGCGCCTCCTGCATGCAGGGAAACAGCTGTGTCTCAGCATGCAGGAGGCGCTTGGAAGGATGGGGAGAAGCAGGGCCACCGGCAGACAGGAGGCGCTGGGGGTGGGGGATGCTGGCTGCTGGTGGGTGCTAAGCACCCACAGAAAAGCCATCCAAAAGATGAAGCGACGGATATGTGGATCAGGACCAACATTAATCGGAACACATTCCCGTATTCATGAGTGACAGATATGTGAAATGACGGATAAGCGGGAGACATAAACGAGGGACCCCTGGTCTATAGTTGCTTTTTTCCATACATCTCAAATCATTTTATGAAGATAGATAAGCATAATTATTCCTATTTTTACAACTGAGGAAAGTGCAATTACTTATCCAAAGTTACAGAGTAAGTTAATGCCAGAGCAAGGAATAGAACTCAGGTTTCCAGACCCTAAGTTTTGTACCATAACCATTGGACTACAAATTGTGAAAGTAATAAAACACTTAGTTTAATTCTTGGTATATAAGCCTGTGCAAGAGACACTTGTAGTCAGGGCTGGCCCTGGACCAAATGGTGCCCCAGGCTAGAAGCGTCTTCAGTGCCTCCCCTACCCCTCCATTTGTTAAATTTTTAATACCTTATTTTTTATTGCATTTGTAGCCCATGTCACAACTTTGATGCACAATTTGCATCCATGATTTATCCCTGTCATATAAGAAGATAAATGTGGACGCTAGGATCTGTAAATCTGTATTTATTAATGCCATATATATGCAAATAAAAAAATTAGTTTCCTCTAAGCTGACAGAAACTTTTTTTAATTTTAAGAATAACTAAAATATTCTAACATCAATAAATTGAACTGTGTACCAACATTGGGTGGAACAGTATTTAAAAATTTTACAGTAGGTGACAGCCTTAGAATGTTAACCCTATTCCTTTCGTTCCAAAGGTCACTTTTCTTACCTTTTCCCTCACAAACTCAAGCACAGCATTAGAGAGATCTAAAGACTGGCCAATGGCATTTTCAAGCAATAAAATAGCAAGCAATGTCAATCTCTCATCAGCCATTGTCAATCGAAGATATGTTTTAATGAGCCTGTGCTTCAAAAAGCTACGCTCACCACTTGCGTAGCTGGCAGCATGAGCAGAATCTTCAAAGCGATCCACACATTAGAAAATGTGTCCTTCAGCTCTGCATCATGAAAGAATTGGAGAACTTGAAGTGGAGAGTGCTTTCTGTGTGGCAAAATGTGACGGATGTTGTCCAATTCTATATAGAGATCTTTGTCATTGACATCCAACCATTCCCCATGTGTCAGCATCCAATGAAGGTCCATAAAATTGTTCAAGAGTGTTTTCCTGTCCATTGGCAGCTTACTGATGTCATACCAAACCCCCCAGATCTTTTCGTGGTGCTTCATTTGTCTGAACCTTTCTTTGATGGACCCTTGAGCAGTGTCAACAGCGAGCAAAAAAACTCCCTCTTGAATTTTTCTTCCGAGCTTCCCATCACCTCATCTTTGTCCTCGTAACAAAACTGTCTCTTCTTCCAATGAATACGAGTTTCCTTGAAGACAGGCTCAACTCCTAAGTTTTCCACCCTTCCTTTGCAGCAGTGATGGCATCTTCAAATCCATTGTCTCTGTAGGCCACAACGAAATCAAGGCAGCTTCTCATCAAAGAAGTAGCAGTCGCGATGTCCATTGACTGAGTTTGGAATCATAGAATCATAGAATATCAGGGTTGGAAGGGACCTCAGGAGGTCATCTAGTCCAACCCCCTGCTCAAAGCAGGACCAATCCCCAATTTTTTGCCCCAGATCACTAAATGGCCCCCTCAAGGATTGAACTCACAACCCTGGGTTTAGCAGGCCAATGCTCAAACCACTGAGCTATCCCTCCCCCCATGCCATGCTTATAATGATTACTTGGAACAGGATATTGTGCCAAACCACAAATCACAACTGAGACCAGAAATTTGAAGTCAGAGATCTGGTTTGCCAGGCTTTTCGCCTCGTGTCGGATTCTGGCCTCAGCTTTACTTGACTGTGCTAGTTCCATCAGGGTGTCATAGACCTCAGTCACTTGGCTACCTCACTGGCCTTATGCTGTCAATACGGCTCTCCCAGAGAGTGTCACTTACCAGCTTCATGGTCAGATTTGTAACACTGTCCGTGAGGATCTTCCACCTGATAGCTGATGCTGAAAACAGGATGTATATCCTTTGTAGTATTCCAAAGAGAGATAACTGAATCTACAGAAGATGAAGCTGCATCTGACACAACCAGGTAAGGGAATGGCAACCAGAAGGCATGAAGAAAGATTCAGCACAAGGATCCTTGCCTGGGTGCCACTGTTTCTTCCCTTCGTGTTCACACCATTGTCATAGCCTTGGTAAATCTGCTAATTCTTTAGTAATAGGACTTCCATCATTTATGCTTCACTCCTCAATTTCTTCTGCACTGAGATGATCACTCCTGCCTAACGCACGGTCAATGTTGTTCTGTTTGAAATATTTTCCCATCAGATTTGCCCCTTGCTGCAAACTATATTGCAATTGAGCTTTTCACTTCCTATACGGAGCTCCTGAAGGTTTCTTCAGGGGCATCTTTTATTTTCTGTGGGGGGAAACAGACAGTATGAGGAAGAGCAAAAGTCTATGTTCCACAGACTTAGAAAGTCATTACACATTACGTGTTAAGCATGGCAAAAGAAGTAACAGTATTTCTTTTATATTGTTGTGTAGAAAGGGGTTTGATAGATAGCTCTGGCATCTCATTAAATATGTCCTTTATTAGTTGCTACTTATCTTCAATTCTTAAAACACAAGTACACTTTCACAATTACACAATAAAACAAAAAGAAAAGGAGTACTTGTGGCACCTTAGAGACTAACCAATTTATTTGAGCATGAGCTTTCGTGAGCTACAGCTCACTTCATCGGATGCATACCGTGGAAACTGCAGCAGACTTTATATACACACAGAGAATATGAAACAATACCTTCTCCCACCCCACTGTCCTGCTGGTAATAGCTTATCTAAAGTGATCATCAAGTTGGGCGATTTCCAGCACAAATCCAGGTTTTCTCACCCTCCACCCCCCCACACAAATTCACTCTCCTGCTGGTGATAGCCCATCCAAAGTGACAACTCTCTACACAATGTGCATGATAATCAAGTTGGGCCATTTCCTGCACAAATCCAGGTTTTCTCACCCCATCACCCCACTCCCAAAAATCACACACACAAACTCACTATCCTGCTGGTAATAGCTCATCCAAAGTGACCACTCTCCCTACAATGTGCATGATAATCAAGGTGGGCCATTTCCAGCACAAATCCAGGTTTTCTCACCCCCATACACACACAAACTCACTCTCCTGCTGGCAATAGCTCATCCAAACTGACCACTCTCCAAGTTTAAATCCAAGTTTAACCAGAACATCTGGGGTGGGGGGGGGTAGGAAAAAACAAGGGGAAATAGGCTACCTTGCATAATGACTTAGCCACTCCCAGTCTCTATTTAAGCCTAAATTAATAGTATCCAATTTGCAAATGAATTCCAATTCAGCAGTTTCTCGCTGGAGTCTGGATTTGAAGTTTTTTTGTTTTAAGATAGCGACCTTCATGTCTGTGATTGCGTGACCAGAGAGATTGAAGTGTTCTCCGACTGGTTTATGAATGTTATAATTCTTGACATCTGATTTGTGTCCATTCATTCTTTTACGTAGAGACTGTCCAGTTTGACCAATGTAAATGGCAGAGGGGCATTGCTGGCACATGATGGCATATATCACATTGGTGGATGTGCAGGTGAACGAGCCTCTGATAGTGTGGCTGATGTTATTAGGCCCTGTGATGGTGTCCCCTGAATAGATATGTGGGCACAGTTGGCAACGGGCTTTGTTGCAAGGATAAGTTCCTGGGTTAGTGGTTCTGTTGTGTGGTATGTGGTTGTTGGTGAGTATTTGCTTCAGGTTGCGGGGCTGTCTGTAGGCAAGGACTGGCCTGTCTCCCAAGATTTGTGAGAGTGTTGGGTCATCCTTCAGGATAGGTTGTAGATCCTTAATAATGCGTTGGAGGGGTTTTAGTTGGGGGCTGAAGGTGACGGCTAGTGGCGTTCTGTTATTTTCTTTGTTAGGCCTGTCCTGTAGTAGGTAACTTCTGGGAACTCTTCTGGCTCTATCAATCTGTTTCTTCACTTCCGCAGGTGGCTATTGTAGTTGTAAGAAAGCTTGACAGAGATCTTGTAGGTGTTTGTCTCTGTCTGAGGGGTTGGAGCAAATGCGGTTGTATCGCAGAGCTTGGCTGTAGACGATGGATCGTGTGGTGTGGTCAGGGTGAAAGCTGGAGGCATGCAGGTAGGAATAGCGGTCAGTAGGTTTCCTGCATAGGGTGGTGTTTATGTGACCATTTCCAGGTTTTCTCACCCTCCACCCCCACACACAAATTCACTCTCCTGCTGGTGATAGCCCATCCAAAGTGACAACTCTCTACACAATGTGCATGATAATCAAGTTGGGTCATTTCCTGCACAAATCCAGGTTCTCTCACCCCATCACCCCCCTCCCAAAAATCACACACACGAACTCACTATCCTGCTGGTAATAGCTCATCCAAAGTGACCACTCTCCCTACAATGTGCATGATAATCAAGGTGGGCCATTTCCAGCACAAATCCAGGTTTTCTCACCCCCCCACCTCCATACACACACAAACTCACTCTCCTGCTGGCAATAGCTCATCCAAACTGACCACTCTCCAAGTTTAAATCCAAGTTTAACCAGAACATCTGGGGTGGGGGGGGGGGGGTAGGAAAAAACAAGGGGAAATAGGCTACCTTGCATAATGACTTAGCCACTCCCAGTCTCTATTTAAGCCTAAATTAATAGTATCCAATTTGCAAATGAATTCCAATTCAGCAGTTTCTCGCTGGAGTCTGGATTTGAAGTTTTTTTGTTTTAAGATAGCGACCTTCATGTCTGTGATTGCGTGACCAGAGAGATTGAAGTGTTCTCCGACTGGTTTATGAATGTTATAATTCTTGACATCTGATTTGTGTCCATTCATTCTTTTACGTAGAGACTGTCCAGATTGACCAATGTAAATGGCAGAGGGGCATTGCTGGCACATGATGGCATATATCACATTGGTGGATGTGCAGGTGAACGAGCCTCTGATAGTGTGGCTGATGTTATTAGGCCCTGTGATGGTGTCCCCTGAATAGATATGTGGGCACAGTTGGCAACGGGCTTTGTTGCAAGGATAAGTTCCTGGGTTAGTGGTTCTGTTGTGTGGTATGTGGTTGTTGGTGAGTATTGGCTTCAGGTTGCAGGGCTGTCTGTAGGCAAGGACTGGCCTGTCTCCCAAGATTTGTGAGAGTGTTGGGTCATCCTTTAGGATAGGTTGTAGATCCTTAATAATGCGTTGGAGGGGTTTTAGTTGGGGGCTGAAGGTGACGGCTAGTGGCGTTCTGTTATTTTCGTTCTGTTATTTTCGGATAGTGAGTTTGTGTGTGTGGTTTTTGGGAGGGGCGTGAGGGGGTGAGAGAACCTGGATTTGTGCAGGAAATGGCCCAACTTGATTATCATGCACATTGTGTAGAGAGTTGTCACTTTGGATGGCCTATCCCAGCAGGAGAGTGAATTTGTGTGGGGGGGTGGAGGGTGAGAAAACCTGGATTTGTGCTGGAAATGGCCCAACTTGACGATCACTTTAGATAAGCTATTACCAGCAGGACAGTGGGGTGGGAGGAGGTATTGTTTCATATTCTCTGTGTGTATATAAAGTCTGCTGCAGTTTCCACGGTATGCATCCGATGAAGTGAGCTGTAGCTCACGAAAGCTCATGCTCAAATAAATTGGTTAGTCTCTAAGGTTCCACAAGTACTCCTTTTCTTTTTGCGAATACAGACTAACACGGCTGTTACAATAAAACAAGGTTCACAATATTGCAGCTGGGCTCTCACTTCACTTCAGTTCATCCTTATATCTCACTGACTGACTGGATACGCCATGCCACACCATGCCCCTTATATACCTGCAAGGGCATGGATGACAATATTCTAAGAGGTTCAAGGAAAATGTAGTTCTCAAAAAGTCTGTTAGGTTCTCCAAGGTTCCACAAAGGTCCACAACATTCTAGGAGGTTAGTGGAAAATTAATCCACATATGGAATACTTGAAACATTTTACCTCAAACATTATATTTTCCCTTTTGTTGCTAACAATAGAAACAACACCCTAAGCCCGGCGCCCTCCAAGCCCTGCACCCCGGGTGATCTCCTGGGTTGCCTGTCCCTAAATCCAGCCCTGCTTGTAGCAGACAGTAGGAGAGATACCTATGGCTCTGATCCTGCAAGCACTTCCACATGTGAGTAACTTCACTCATATGACTAGTTCAGTTGAACTCAATTGACAGCTACGTCATTTGTTTATTTTTAAAATACTGTACATGCCGTGTTTTGGTTCTTAATTTAGAATGTTCATTCTGAGAGGCCCTAATTTAATTATTCTCTTCGTTATTTATGGCATGTTCTCTGGCCTTCATATCTTCCAAATACTCTAACATCTTCGGTATTATGCCTTTCTAAATTGGGAATGAATCAGAAGCCATATTAAGACTTGTTATGTCCTAATGAAAATTCATGTTGTCCACCACTTGAATACTTGCATTAAACCCTGAAGGTTCATCGCTAGAAAGTAAAATCAATCAAGGTAAAGAAAAGTGTGTCTTATCAAAATAAAACAATCATTCTTTTGAATCTTACTGTAAGGTCAGTCACTGATTCATAATATCTAATGCCCATAAGTGTCTGTAGTAAGACTAGGATTTTAAAAACAAAAGTTAACTGGGCCAAATTCATCCATGCTATAAAAAATTCCACTGAGTTTAATGAGTTTATTCTAGGGATCAATTTCTCTCATTACGCCTAATTTTTGTTAACTGATTTTGTTACTTTTTAGTGTGGCAGACTGTAGTAAAGGACCTAATACAAAGGATTAATTCAGATATATCATTTAAGAAAACTGACAAGATTTTTAAGATTCAGTCTGTTTTGAATAAGCCTACAACTGACTCCTAACTCTGCATGTTTCTATCTATTTATGTGTTTCTATGGCTCTGCAGCA